GTACGCTTTGTTCCAAGTTGCAGCGGTCTGAGAGTTCTTGTAGCAGCTACCGGTGTTGTTGTAATATTTGTATCCTAGACACAAGTTAAAGAAAACAAAAATTGATAGTCTTTATGTCACTATGAAGAAAAAATGCATTGAAGTTAATCTATTTGGGACCTTCATAGTGTTAATGCTATTATGGATATTGTTGTATAGTCTTAATATATTTACAGTACTCATCAATTGAATTGGCACGCTGAGTACAAGAGCTCGACGTGCCAATCCGAGTATAGCGTACTACGGTACATATGTAACTTACCTGCAGAGTATACTTTGCATCTCGGATCATAGATGACGTTGATTGCTTTAATTTTACACATAAATGGTAATTTGTTGAGACAATTAGACGTCTCTACGATACCCTCTCGTGTGACTACGTTACACTGCCCCCTTGATGTCGCGAACCACTCGGGGTCTTCCACTAAAACAATACATAGAACGCATTGATAAAAAACTTACTATTTCCTTCTAGCAGATGAGAGAAGACGGCTCATAAATTTGAAAATGCGTTTTCATACATATTAATATTACTAAATTTAGTATTTAGTATTATATTGAAAATTATCACAGACAAATATTTATAGTTTTCTAAACGTATTTTGTATTTCGCCAGCGATCTGAGATGAGTTAATTCCACTCACTGTATATAACCGGGGCTTCTTCGGCCGATTCATGTTGTAACCCATCCGAAGCAACTAATACGTAGTTCCCTATGTCTGGGAACTGCTTCAGCATTTTGTGAACTTGTATTACATCTTCTGGTGAAGAAGTAGTCATCAGTTCAGCCCCTTCTTCTAGGCAGCGGTTTTTAGCCTGAATGTCTATTGCTGTCGCGACATGCAGTTTGTAGAATGCATCTGTTTTTGCGTTGTACTCATAATCCGTTCTATACCGTTTATGTGCCGGGTTCGCTGCAGTCAATGCTGGGGAAAACTTGTTGAATTTACTTTATTTATCGTGACGTAATCATTTTAAAAAGTTTATTTTATATTGAATTTTTTTTTAGGCTAGAAATATAAAATATAATAAAAACCGAACTTACAAAACAAAACAATAAACACAAAGCGCATCGCGTCTTCACTCGCGTCCGTTTCCTCGCTAAATATTTATTGAAATGGCTAATTACGTTAATGGCCTAGACATTATCTACATTTAAGTGAACGCTGGACATATGTCGCTTAGTCATACAATTACAAACTCATATTTTCATTTTACTATCACATGTTTATATGCAGTGGGATTCGCTGACGGTATTCCACCGCGGACGCGATAACCTTTTCAACTTATTGTTGACTAGCTTTCGCTCGCGACACCGTGCGCGTAGAATTTTAAAAGTCAAAAGTAAGTACTCTATGTGTTCTTTCAGACTATCCTCTATATCTATACCAAATTTCATCGAAATCCGTTCGGCCGTTTAGGCTACAAACCCTAACAAACATCCGTCTATCCATCCATCCATCTAAACTTTCGCATTTCTATTATTATGATTTAGAATGTGTATTGCTCACTTTAAAATTCGAGTTTCATTCACTTTAATTCACTCACACTTTGATTCACTTTAAAGTGTGAGAGATATCCTTATTCGAGAGAGCAACCTAATTGGTTATTTTAAAGATTCTTATGATCTGAATCTAGCTCGGTACAAGTACAGGGCAATTTTACCCTAAATCCCACTTGGTCACCTAAGCCGTATATCTATACAATCTAATATAGTAATATTTACTATACTAATATTACATATAGTAATACATAATAGTACACATTTTTTTAGTGTTGAATAATTTTATGACAATATTCGACTTAATAGTTCGACTTTATCTGGCTATATTATTATAATAAATTTGATATAAGGAGGTGGCAGTGAGGCTTTCAAAAAGGTTCTACAAAATGTCTACTGCGCGTAGTATTTCCAGTTCATAAATCTCAACATGTCCAATGTAAGTTTATAAAAAATTCAACTTGGTTCCAGCTACAGGAAAATAATAAACAAAACCTTTATCAGACTGGAATTATCAAGTTTACTTGGAAATAAATCTGCGTACTTCAACTGCAATATTCAACATTGCGTCAACACAGTTGAGTTTAATCATTCTCGTCGCTAATTTTAGGTATAATTATTAAGTGAACATTATCATTGTTGTTATAATTATTATCATTTAGTACGAAAATCGTAATTTCAAACTCCCTTAACTCCATACCAAAGCCATCCCACTGCAATACTTCAAGTAAAAAGATGGAAGTCTGCAATGTTATGTATGTTGTTTTTTTCTATCATTTTGTCAGTATTAAAGTATTTCTAAGGAATGGGTTTTAAATAAAACACGTGTATTAATATGCAGTAATGTTTTATTGTTAGAGTGCGGGGGCCTGCGCAGGAGCCGCGCGGCCCGCCCTACACCTCGCCGACCGCGCCTTCTCATAACTGTCACATTTCCCGCGCTTCACATTTACATAGATTATGCACAAATTTATGCCATCTCAATTAAATAAAATAATTATTTTTACAAACCGTTATTAAAATTGAACATTGCCATACAAAATCAAATTTAAAAATAATATTTGAATCAATTACTTATTTAATAAAGGAATGTAGACAGATATTGTTTTAATATTATTTACCGTTGTAAATTAAATTGGATAGTGTGTTAAATTTAAAAAAAAAACTATGACTATGTAATGTTCAGTCGATTTACAATTGTAAAAACAATAGTAATATGACAGTTTAAGGTAAGGTTTGGTCGGTCGATGCATGACGCTACAAAATTATTTTGGCAGTTCGCAACAATGGTAAAATGCAACCATCTCCGTTATCCGACGGATACATATCTAGTATTTACAATAGCCTTCCTCAACGTATCAAGTTGTCTGAACAAAGTAAATCACAATCCTACAAAGTGCCGCCGTGTATCAAATTAACTAAATCCAACTATACATAGGAAATGTCGGCAGAGGGCGCGCAAGCAAACGACTGCAAAGTCCAGTGGCGCCACTGTGCGCGTACAGTCGTCTGACAGTTATACCTAAAATACGACAACTTAAAAACGAAATCAGTGCACAAAATATCTACTATATACACAAGACTGGTAATAATTAAAATAAAAACATTGTTTTACTTTTACATTAAGAAAATTATTGTTTTCTTTCATTTTGTGATTTTTTTTTGTTTGTTTTTATATATAAGAGTTACAATATAAAACTAAATCGCAGGTTACACACAAACTAAGAGCGTATTCTGCTTATGTTAATATTAACTAAAAGTCTTATAATTTTATTTGCTAATATTTACAAGAAACATAGTAAATATCCTTTAAGTGCCGACGATATTCGAGTGTGCTGTTACAAGTCATGAGCGACTAAAGTTAGAAATGAAAAACAAAAGTGTGAACTCAAATGTGACTTCTTAAAAACTAAACATCACTTGTGTGTTTTAAATTGAACAGTGTACTTATAACTTAAAATATACGAGATCCCTGAAAGTCTGGAAACGTAATACGTACATATGAAAATTTTTCACATTACATCGCTCACAAAAAATATCTAAAATTTTCGGTGACACCACATTAACTAGTCAAAGTTGTTCATATTAATATTTTACATACACAAAGAATGACACAAACTAAAATATAGACAAGTTATCTGGCCCGGTGGGCATAAGTGGAAATTATTTATGATAGCTCACTAGCGCCATCTTTTTATACTATTTTCTATGTTATAGGTTTTACATATTTTCTGACAGAACCAGATCGCAGCGTCTCGCCGGGCCAGCCTTAACTATACGTTACATCAACAGCTCACGTCACAAAGCGAATCGTTAGCGACAAAAACTAAGACGAACATGTCTTTACATTTAACAATTATTACGCTTCTATATGTACAGCTAATTGGTGTCCAGTTCTGCTATTTGTGATTATCAGAATCCAATAATTACGCCTAACGGATCACAGTGATAGTTATATGAATTAAGGCAAGGTGGGTCCGTCACGCCCTCGTCTTTGCTAATAACGAGCCGCTAGATGGCGCCGTAATTAAACTGCAAGAAAATTACTTTTAATTACTTTAATTTGCGTAATTTTACCGTTTAAATCTGTTTTTATGTACATTCCTATATTAACATTTAGTAAATGGGTTTCAGCGACATCTAGCGGCCGTTCGAAGCAGAGTACAAGGCCGCGCCTCCTTTGTACCATCGACACGCCCTCATTCGACTCGTTACGTCACTGAGAGGTTAGAATTTCGTATGGGTTGACAATAATTGTTTATTTTTCTATTGATTTCTAAAATCAGCCGATCGTTCAATCTCGCAACGAATCAAACGAGGAAGCCAACCGGAACTGAGTGCTGCTTATTTTCCAAATCAGCTTAATATTAAAACTACAGCTTTGTCTATTTACAATTCATTATTTTTTATATTTTTATATAGTTTTGAACTAGTTTTAAGGCTACGACGTCCCGACACACAAATCTCTCTAAATCAGTTACAACAGCGCGGCATTACCCCGAATCTACATAAACATATGGAAATATTGAATCTCGTAACTAACATTAATACGAAATATACTTTTAAAATTTGCCCATTAACCACGCACACTAACATATCAAAAATTACTTAATATTAAATCGCTAATATATCTATAAATGCTTGAAATACACATGTATTTGTTACATTTACAAACATCGCTATACAATGTCACGCTAAATCATGGTATGAGAATACACTTAAATATACAATTTTATCTATACATTTACGCATCGCAAATACTATACATTCTGTCCGAGATAGATGATTTAGGGCCTGTCCCACCACTAGCTGATAGAGGCGCAGATAGCTTAAAATGACGTTACTGTCAGATAAGGTAACAATATCCGATGTTTCTATCGCATATTTTACATGTTGGATCAGACAATTTACAATTTGGTGGGACAGGCCCTAAAGTTATTTTCGCTAAGTCACTCTTAGCATAAACACTTTCTTTTCTCAGACAAAACAGGTCAATATTAATACTTTTCAATACTATATCTAACTATAGCTATGTAATGTTCAGTCGATGTTACATACAATGGTGTTTACGAGTACACTTAAAGATTACATTTAAGGCCGCGCGCAGA